GGGGGGGGGGGGGGGGGGACGACGACAGGGGTTCACACACTCCCGCAGGCCGTGGAGCCCAGCGAAGCCGAGGCCTGCACTGTCGCGCTGCTGAATGGCATCACGGCCTTGCTGTTCAAAGGACACGGGAAAACACAACATCGGCGACTGTGAAGCTCAAGTCGGACAGACAGAGGTTTGAGGGAATGCGGCCGGGGAGTTCCCTCTCCTTCCGGTTCTCTAGCTATGCCAGGTGCTCCACAGACAAGGGTTCTCCATGCTGGGCTCACGGGGGCAGGAAATCGGGTCTGATTAAGGCAGTGAGCAAGATGGGGTCAGCTCTGGAGCAGCTTCACATTAGCCAGGTACGGGGACCGAGGGGCAAGTGTGGAGTGCGCAGAACTTCGGCTACGTACACCACACCCTCCGGTCCCTGTGCCTCCCACCCACACAACGGGCTCACTCAGGAATTTGGTAGTATGCACAGAGTTTTCCTTTACACCAAAAACTCAAGGGTACTGAAAGGCCGAAGCAGTGGCTTCATCTGGGTATTATTATCCTCTCGATGGCGCACAGAATATGGTCCCAGTTTTTACAGAAGATGGCGAGGAGAGTCACAGCGAAGAAGGTGCCGAGGATGTGGAAGCGGCTCTTCATCATGGGCGACACGAACCTGGCCACGGTGGACACGCACACCAGGACGACGGTCATGAAGGCCAGCACCACGTTGATGCACTTGCCCAGCAGCACCTTGGCGTTCATGGTGTCCGTCTGCAGCGTCTGCTGCTCCTGCTGGTGCAGCTCCAGCTTGGAGATGCGCGTCTGACAGGACTCCAGGGCTTCCTGCGGGCGAGAGGACAGCGGATGAGACGCCGCCTGGGAGCGCGCCGCCCAGGTGTGCGGAAAGCGCCCAACGCCTGCCCGGGCAGCTCGCGGTGACAGCGACGGACAGAGGCATAAAGCAGGGACCGCGAGGCTCACCTGCCTCATTTTCATGGACAGACTGAGCTGGTGCACAAATACTATCGAGCAGGAAGTGCAGCTGGGTAGAAAGAGACGTGAAACCCTGGCCCCTGATAAGGGCTGCCCCACCGCCAGACCCCACGGTGGCCAGCGGAGGGAGCGGGAGGGAAGGGGCTGCACGGGCCGGGCAGCTGTTTTCACTGCTCTCTGAGGCTGGGCTTCTCAGGCCACGTCCTCAGCCACCCCGTGCCACGCATTCCGAGGCTGCAGGGACTGAGACACAGCATTCCCAGAGCACCCAAGGCCAGAACCAGACATGTACTCTCACGTCACACCCGTCACCTGCAGCCAGCCCTGCTTCCCCACGGCCTCCCTTTCTGGAAAAAGAGTGCCACGACCGCACACCACGGAGGTTCCCGACGGCCCCCAGCCAGCCCATCACCCAGCTCCACTGAGGACAAAGCCAGGTCTCTCAAGCCACAGGCTTCCTCCTCCCAGCCTCCACCCGTGTCTGTCACCACCGGCAGTGACCATACACAAATCCCCCTTTTGTGCCCGACCACCTGGATCAATCTTCCACATAGCAACCCAACCGATCTTTTAAAGGTACATATTCATGACACCCCCTCTTCATAAAACCTCTCACATCTTTAAAATGGACTTCTGAGGCTGTGCTTCCCTTAAGGCAATTTTATTCACTCACAGTCCACTGACCAAACTTCCCCCCGCCCAAGCTTCAAAAGGAAGCACAAACTAACCCCAGGACCCTTGCACGCACAGTCTACTCTGTCTGAAATGTGTGTCTCCCCAATTCCCACCTCTCTTCAACTGTTGATCTCCCATTCACCTCTCAGATCTCAGCTCGACTATCCTATCCTGAGGGAGGTCTCCCCTCAGCCCTCCTTTGGGAGCAGGAGACACAAGCATTGCATGTGGACAGGGTCAAGGCCTACCTCACCGTCACTGTCCCCTTAAGCACAGAGCCAGTGCAGTGCTGCTGCACACTAGTGGGACAGGAAAGAGGAGACCGGGTGCCAGCAGCCGGATGAACAACAGAGAGCAGAAAGGCCCCATAGGTCACTGGCCCACTGTCCGAGTCATCTGTCTGCGCTCACACAATTCAGACACAGCCGTCCTCTCAGGTCTCAGCAAGTGTTAACGGTTCCACACCGATCTGCTTTTCTTCCACTGAACACACGCCATGGGCCAGAGCACAGGGCTGTTACTATAGTAACTTCCAGCACAGGAGCCTACCGGCCCCGGGGATAAGGCTTCTCCCAGCACCACATCCTACAGTGCTGGCTTCCTGCAGGCCTGCGCGTGGGCCCCGCAGCGGCACGGACCCGAGACCTCCTCACTATCGGCCCAGGCACAGAGAAGCCAATGGGACGAGAGCAAAGACCCGCGTTTCAGGAACGTTCATTCAAGTCTGAACGGCCAAGGGCGCCACACGCACAAACACACGGAGCTGAACCACCTTGGGAGTGCGGCGAGAACCAAACAGGAAATAAAGATGACCCTGAGCAGGCCTAACGGCAGAGCGCGCCAGGGCCACGGGCACTCAGCAATACGATGAGAAGAACGACCGCATCAGCGTTCTGGCTGCTTACCGAGGACCTGGCAAAGGCTGTGGTATTTAAAGGCCTTGTCCCGCTATCCCATGCGTCCTCTTGGCCTACTGAAGCAGAGCTCACTGATTTTTCCACTGTATGGATAGGGAAACCGAGGCACAGAGCACAGAAAGAGGAGGAGGGCCAGGAGGACTCAAACCCCCAGGAAAGGAAAGTTGTTCACAGTTGTTCACAGATGTTCTCTTCAGTTCTGACCTGGTGATGAAACCGGAAACCGCTGGCATCGGCTCCTCTGTGGGTCTAAGTTCCCTCAGTGAAGGCCCTCTCCTGTATCATCCGACCGCTTCACCCAGGGGATGTGTTTCTTAAGGAAGAGAAGGAACCCAAACCATCTCCGGAACAGGAAGCCGGTATTCCAGACCGGAGTGAAAACAGAATGACCCTAACGGCTGCCCCGCTCCCCAGGCAGCACTTAACACGTAAGTGGGTTCAGGCTTCTCGATCCAGAGGCAGTGAAGTGAAGTCTTCTGGCCCAGCTCCGGGCCAGTCACTCCCCGAGTGTCTTGGGTGCCACGCTCTTCTCTCTGGGGGCAACACTCCCAGCAGCTCTGACGCTTTGGTCCCCAAAACTGTGCCAGCGCACACCCGGGAGGAGCACAAGCTCAGCCTCGGTGCCCGGCACAGTAAAATGTGCACAGCTGACCCCGCAGCTCCCAGGCCGCAGCAGGGCTGCTATCTTTGCTTCAGTCTGGGCCCTTGGAAAGCGGGGCTCAGACTGTCAGTCAGAGATGGAGAGAAAATCCGCACACGTGAAGCTGAACATTAGCTGAAGAGTACGTATTTTTGGGCTTTTACTTTTTAAAGAAGCAATCAAGAAGCCACGTTGCTTCTGGACAGTGGTGGCGTCACACCAGGAAACCCCGAGGAGCCTCTGTTCATGGAGGTCCTTTCCTCCTCCTCCCCTTCACCCGCCCCTGCCCACCAGCCCAGGCCTGCCTTCTACAGAATGCTCATCCACACCCAGGACCCGGGGTGATCTAAGAGCTTGTCCAGGCCACCTCACCTCTCCGTGCCTCAGGCTCCACATCTGAGAAGTGGGGCTCTGAACAGGAATGACCTTCAAGGGAGCTGAGGGGCCGTGCGAAACGAACAAACGGGGGCACAAACAGGGTGCCGCACGTGCCGGGGCGCAGTGCGCGGGGAGGCTAGAAATTCTTACGAATAGAAACGCTACCCTCTTAGACACGCAAGGTTCGGCTCACACAGGACCACACTGCTGGCACCGGCACAGCTGGACTCACATCCAGCACGGAACCCCTGGACACGGACTGTTCCAGAGGCCACAGCTTGCTGGGTACCTCGTGTCCTAATCTGTGTTCGTGTGTTCTGAGCCCTTTGGTACTTCTGACCTGGGCAGGAAGTTTCCGGAAGATAGGATTTGCCTCCTATTTTAAATTTACTGAACTTCGGGCGGTGTTGGGCCTGGGTGGGTAGATAATCAGTATGTGACGGAGGCAGAAAGTGTGCAGAGGGCAGCTTCTTCTACCATCCGTAACGCGAGCTAACGGAGCCAGCGGGGGATGTGTCTGTCCCCCGTGCCCCCGGCCTGTCCCAGGCGTTAAAGGGTGGAAGCCCCGTGTGGTGTCCGGTCTGGGGCACAGTACCTGGATGTCTCGCGACCGCTCGCAGGCCTGGTAGGCCACCTTCTCCTCAGCGCTGGCCAGCTCCTGCTTCAGGTTGGCCGTCTCGTGCTGGTGCAGGTCTGTGAGGTCGTGCAGCTGGTCTTCCAGGCGCTCGTACCTGACAGAGACAGGAGCCAGACCCTCAGCGTGGGGCTGGAGCGGGCTCACGCCTGGCTCTTCACCCGCGTCACACGAGCCCCTGGGCTGGCGCCGGGGCCACTTAGGAGACGAGGCCAGGCCTCACCGCTTTGCTTTCCCCTCTTCTGCCCTCACAGTTCCTGGGCCTCAGGGCCTGCGAGCCCTCAGGAAGGAACAATGCTGCTAGGATCAGCTTCGTGCGGTGGCCAGTTCCGCCACTGCTCAGCGTGCGCACTGGACCTACATGCTTCCCAGCTCTTGGAACTTACGTGCCAACAAAAACTTAACACTTTTTACAAATTATAGATGGCTTACCAGATGGCACTTCCAAAAGTCCAACTCTAAGATAAGACAGAGATTTCTGTTCTTATGCCCTGCCCACTCCCCAGAGAAAAGGCTCTCTCTGTCTTTTGTTCGAGACTCTATAATGTTTACTTTGAACAGGATGCAATGTTTGGGGAAGACGCCTTAGCCTGGAATGACTCTGATCACTGCCAGCTGTAGATGTTTGGTAGGTCACGTGCTAGAATAATTTTTATAAAACCAAAAATGGTGCTAAGCGTACACAGAAGGGCATTTGTAACATGGGATAAAAGGCACATCCAAAAAAGAACTATCTCAAACTTTCTGGATGAAATGAAGGTCAACATCCCGGGCAAAAGTTGTGACTCATAGGTATAGTTCTTGTGTAATGAATATGTCAAAGTCAAAGACGCATGAGAAAGCTTTAAAAACTGTCTCGGGCTGGGGATGGAGCTTAGTAGTAGAGCACTTGCCTATTACGTGTGAGGCCCTGTGTTCCATCTCTAGTACCACACAATAAATAAAGATTAAAAACAGTTCCTCGCAAGGCATGGTGGTGTACGCCTGTAATCCCAGCACTCGGGAGACTGAGGCAGGAGGATCACTGTGAGTTTGAGACCAGCCTGGGCTACAGAGTTCCAGGTTGAGCTTAGTAGTAGAGCACTTGCCTATTACGTGTGAGGCCCTGTGTTCCATCTCTAGTACCACACAATAAATAAAGATTAAAAACAGTTCCTCGCAAGGCATGGTGGTGTACGCCTGTAATCCCAGCACTCGGGAGACTGAGGCAGGAGGATCACTGTGAGTTTGAGACCAGCCTGGGCTACAGTGAGTTCCAGGTCAGTCTCAACTTCATAGTGAGACCTGGTCTCAAAAAACAAAAAAAACACAGTTCCACAAAATATGAGTTTAAAAGGCCATATTTCTGAATTATAATATACTATCATAATCAATTATAAAACATGGTATAAGCTAAATTTAAAATGTCACAGTATGCATTTTATCTATATCCATAGAAATTAACACATTCATTTTGATTAAAAATCTTTTGGGGGATATGTTTATAAGGGCAATGGGAATATTCACCTTTTTGGGCAGATGCATTTTTTATTAATATGCTTAAACTCATAAAATCTAGTCTACAAACATACCTTTAAAATTAGCTGACATAATCCACAAGATTTAAATTTATACCTTGAATCTTAAGATTACCTTTGAAAGCTCTTTAGGGTAAAAAATTTAATGATAAAAAACAGTACATAAACTGGGTGCAGTGGTGCTGGCCTATAATCCCAGCGTTCTGGAGGCTGAGGCAGGAGGACTGAAAATTTGAACCCAGCCTGGGCAATTTACAGATTTTCAAGACCCTGTCTCAGGAAAAAAGAAAGAAAGAATGAACGAACAAATGAACAAACATAAAGGAAGGAAGAAAAGAAAAAAAAGTCCATAAAAATACATATACAGGGCCAGGGATTTAGCTCAGTGCCTCTCAAGTGCAACGACCTGTGTTCGATCCCTGGTACCACCCGCCCAAAAACATATAACGACTTCAAGACTGCCAAACCAAATGGAGCCTATGTTCTTATGCAGCGAATAGATTTTGACCTGACTACTATTATGGAGGCAAAAGAAATACAGATCCGAGCTGGAGTAAGGAGACTATGACAGAGTCCACCAAAGCAGTTTACACGCACTAGTCACAGCCTGCGTGGTGATGTTGCAGGAGACTCATGAGTAACATCCTTCTCTAATTGTCAGCTATACGCCACTAGTAATTTAAGAGATTACCAGGACTGATCCCTGAATGCCTTTTGATCTACGTCCATATTTACGGAAGACACAATCATTAGCGCCTACTTTCCAGCAAACAACCTCACTGCAGCCAGTGTTTCATCTCGGGCAACAGAATTCTGACGCACCTGTATCTCTCCTCTTGCAGGGTCTGAGAAATGAAACCGTATTCTCTCTTGAACTGCACCTTCAGCGCCTCGATGTCCTCCGCCAGCCGGGCCTGGGTGTCCTTGATCTCCCGCAGCTCCTCCAGAATCAGGGCCAGCTTTGCCTGGCTGTCCAGCGGGCCGGTCCCACCCGCCCCGAAGGCCTGGTGCCCGTTGCTGTCGCCCGAGCCTGACGTGCCGCTCGAACAATCATCGTCACTGCCGTACTTGGGTTTGTTCACGATGGTGGCGCTGCCCCCGTAGGGCCTGGCACTCGCTTCCGGTCTGAAGTCATCTAAGGAGTTCTTCAAGTGAGCGATGTTGTCGGCGCTGCCGAACTTATTCCGGATCAAGTTGGCGAACTCTCTGGACTTGTTGAAGACGAACACGGGAGGCGTGAGGGAGACCCCCGGCATGCCCGACTTGCTGCTCTCCAGGCCGTGCGGGGCAGTCCGCGACTTCCCCGGGGCATCCTTCAGAGAGTGCTGGATGTCCTTCAGGCTGTCTTTGGACGGGTCCTTGGTGCCCCGGGAGGCTCCATTCTGCTCGATCTCCCGCAGCTTCCTGTGATACTGCTCGAGCTTCTTCTGCAGCTGGAGGATGGAGTGCGCCGACTTCTGGTTCTTCTTCTCAAACACCTGCTTGATGCGCCCGGCCTGCTGCTTGTCTGCGCTGCTCACGAGCTTCAGATACTCGGCCACGTTCCCATCCCGGGAGGTCTGCTCGATTTTGATCTGCTCTGTCACCTTTAAAATTTTCTGTCTCAGGCTGTCCGCGGTGAGTTTGACCTTGTGGAAGTCCAGGACGCCATCCGGCACGTCGAAGTTGAGGTTGGTGTCGGACCCTCCCCGGCGGATGTTCAGGGGCAGGCTTAAGGTGTTCATGTGAGGACGTTCTACCTGAAAGGAACCGCAGAGGAGCACGTTAGCATCCGGAGCCAAAGACAACCTGGGACAGACCTGTGCGTGCCTGGCACGCGTGCTTTAGGTTCTGAGTTTCCAAACCCCAAGCTCTACAGGAAAAGTACTCCCTGCTCTCCTCTCACGCTTACAACAGGACGGTGCACGCCCTCCTGCAGCCCGCCTCGCCTTATCATACACTAAGTGGACGAGAGACTCAGAGCTCCAGGGTATCCGATGGGCCGTCTGATCACGGGTAGAAAACGCAGAATAGACTGAGGTCACCGGTAGGCCCTGGCTCTCCAAAGTGAGCTTCTCCACTGCGGGGAATGCATCAAATCCAGAACTCACTCATTTAACAGAAGGAGGGAGGAGAGAAGGAGAGGAGGAGGAAAGGAGGAGGGGGAGGGAGAGCGGAGGAAGGAGGAGGAGAAGGTGAAGTCTCAGCAGGGATATCCATCAGCACAAGAAGACTTTTCATAATGGAATCATTAAACAGATGCGACACAATAATACAGCGCATGATTAATTTTAATAGTTGAAGAACACAACAATGCTGTCTAGACATGGAGACAACTCCAAACCACAACCACAGTGATTAAAAAAGAAAAGAAAAGCAATGACAATAATGAAACCACTTGAGATAGCTTTCTCAGCCAGGGGCCAAGGCATCACGGAGCAGGGCAGGGCGGCAAGAGCGTGCCCAGAGGAAAGGCCACAGCAGACCCTGTGCCAGCTTCCGGGACCCTTACACAGCTCTGATCTCATGAGCATGGCAGACGAAGAGGGCACCGAGCGCTGCAGAGCCAGGGTCCGCGTCCTCGCCCTCCCAGCCCACCTCAGGACCCTCCACCATTCTGTCCCTTGGGTCTTCGCCGTGCTGGAGCACACCTTCCACACAGTGACTCACAGGACCTGAAGCGGAGCCCTGCAGCTGTCCAGCTCCCAGCCCTGATTAGAAAAATGCCTTGATACAGGGGCACCACAGAGACCCAGCGGGAGGGAGACACTATTCAGTACACACCATCTCCATTTCTAACAGACTCGCAGCTGACAGTACAATGTCAGTAAGGGACGAACTTACTGGACCTCACAGTGTTTGAGGGACCCATTTCCAACGACGAGGATTAACACTGCCACACGACAGCCCTGCCCAATGCTTCATTCCACAGAAGGGAGGCCCAGTAACGAGGCAGGACACCATCCCAGGTCACAGGGGCAGCCTCCTCCGCGACCTGCAGAAGTTACTTCTCCGGCCCTCTCCCCACACAGTTTGCCACGAAGGAGAGACTCTGGCTGCTTCATCGGGCGGAAGAGCATCACGCAGGAAAGGCTGGGAGGAAGCAAATGCCCCACCACTGTGAGCCGGAACACAGCGTGCATGGAAACGAGATGGAGGATCTGAGACCGCTCGGTCAAGAGGGAAGGATGAGCGTGGGGATGAGAGGGCTGGGTCGTCGTTAGGCCCGAGGGACGGCCTCGTGAGGCTCACTGTGGACCCAGCAGGGACCGCATGAAACACAGGGAATGGTACTCGGACCACACAGGATACTTAATGGCAACTGTACAATCAGTAAGGCTGGAAATGTGATTTTACTGGAGATGTCAAATCTGACCGCACTACTCAGAAGCTTCCTTTACCTCCCAAATGACCTCCCAGACCACTGCAGAGCTGGAGCTCAGCCTTCCGGCCTCGTTGCACCGAAGGAGGCCATTTATCTCTTAGGACCAGAGCATCAGCTGTCCCAGAATGTGTCCCCCACAGGAATCCCACTGGGGACTCCGCCACTTGCCTGCTTCCTGTCAAATCCTGCACATTCCGTGAAACCCATCTCAACGTCCCTTCCTCCACGAGCTCTTTCTAGCTCCAGGGAATCGGCCTCCTTTCTGGAAGCCCCTGCTGCTCTGTGCTTTGCTTGTGGCACCACCTGCCCCCTCCTTTTATCACTCGTGTGTACTGAACCCCATGGAGGAAAGCGGGGGATGTCTTACCGCACCCCACTGTGGCGCCAGCACTTCCTGTGTCCACAGGAGGCTGTCGATAGACACCTGTTCAACTACAGACACCCGTCTCTCCTCCAAGGAGTCCACACTTAAGTCATTTAACAAGATCAAAACTGACCTCAGGAACTCTGCCTGAAATGGCCCAAGTAGAGAAGCCTCCCAGGACTTAGATAAAAAAATTCTGCATCACTTCTCTTCTCTCAGGGCGGGGTGGGGTTTAAGACAGGCCTCACTGTGTAGTTCAGCCTGGCCTTGAACTCACGATGTAGCCTAGGCGGGCTTCAAATTTATGGTGATCCTCCTGCCTCAGCCTTCTGAGCACTGGGATTACAGGCGTGCAACACCACACCCAGCTGTGTCACTTCAAACACATTCAACTAAACTGAGATTTTTCTGAGCACTAATGTGTAACAAGTCACATAGCTATAAATAAGGACGTTTAAACTTGAAATATATAATTTACACTCAGAAAAAAGCACATGTAAAGAAGCATAAAATGAAAGGAATTCTTACAAACCGGGAGCTCCCCTTTGTCCCCGCTTTCATTCACAACTACATCACCCCACCTCCTGGCTTCCAGCCTTGCACCTCAGTTTTCCCTGCTGTACACACACTCCTGTTGCTGTTTGCAAAACCCTGTTTGTGAGTCCACACGCGTTTGTTCTTATCCAGGAGATTAAGTTATCAAACAATCATCTGACACTCTCTGCTGAGAAGTCCCCTATCATGTCTGAGGAGAGCAAGGTTTTTATGCATACGTCACCAACGAGAAGCACCATCTGCCCGGCCTCCCTGAACTCTCCTGCACCAGGCGGTCACCCAAGGGTTCAGGCACGGGGGGCCGCCCGCTTCCCCTCAATTCACAGCTGTAACCACGCGAGGCGGGGCCTCCAGGGTCCAGGTTGGGGTGGAGTGGCAGCGAGGGCCCCCAGTCAGTCAGTCTCACTGCTTGTCAGCCAGTCTCAGGGAAAAGCATCCAACTGGGGACTAAAGTCAGAAATGTTTGGGGCTGCACCTCTGGTAGGGCGCCCACCACACAGATAACTGCGAGCCAGCTGTAAATACTGCTGCGTGTCAATGAAGCCTGATTCTGCACTACGGAAACCATGAGAGTCCTCTGCACCCTGTTTAACCTGGACTTGCACTGACCTGACTCCTGCCAGAGAGGCGGCGGCTGAGGGAAGAGGACAAAGGCTCACGACTACCGGGGGTCAGTGCGGCCATGGACGACGAGCATCAGGAGGGGGTTCACTGGGGCACTGACATTTACAAGCCACACATCTTTAGGCAAACTGAGTTACATCTGTGTCCTAATATGTATAGAGTACGGCGATGGAGCTGACAATTCAGAACTAATACTGGGTCGATACTGTGTGATGCCAGCTCTTGTACTGTCGGTACAGTACTGCCGTACAGCCAGGACCGAGTTCTCTGGAGACAAGACTGCTTGGCTTCCACCTCGATACCACCCTTTCCAGCTGTGCCCTAGTTTCCTCTTCTGAAAAGGGACATAATGATTCTTCCAAGAGTCCTTGCGAGGAATAAAGGAGGCCATGCATGACAAGTGCCTAAAGACCCTCCGGGCACACAGAATGGCTTCAATAAATGTTTGCTATTGTTAGGTGGATTTCGTTTTTAAAATGTACCTATTTGTACAAAAGGAAAACAACCTGCAGAGTGTGAACAATGGTTATTTTTGCACCTTAAGGTTAGAAGAGGTCATTCTTTTTATCACGCTTTTATAGTTTCCAATTAAAAAAAAAATAAAATGTATTATGTTTGGGCAGGAAAGTTTGTTTCATTTTGTTTTTTTAATGACGCTAGCCTCCTCCCAGAATCGCCCTGGATGCAAGACAGAAGAGCAGCACCCTGGCAGAATGGCCTTCCTGACTGGGTTTTCCTTCCAGGAGCAGAGATGTTTCCCCTGTCACTTCAATGTTTTGGGACAAAGCCGAGGAAAAGTCGAGGAAAAGCCGAGTCCTGGACAGACATCAAAACCGACCCCAAATCGTCCCTGCAGTGAACACGGAGACTCCCAAGGCACTGTCCCGGCACACGGCAGCGCCACCCCTCAGCCCCCCAGGGATCCAAGAGAAAGGGCAGAGAAAGAGCGTGGAAGCCCCAGGCCACAGGACTAGAAAGGCGCAGGGAGCTCTGTGGACCCTGTGATGGCTTGGGAGTGGCCTGGCCTATGGGAAGGTGCTTAGGTTACTGGGGCTCCGGCCCCAGAGTGGGATTAATGCTGGTCTCACCAGAGCGGATCAGTTTCTTCAAGAGCAGGTTGGTGTAGCACAAGGCCACCTCACAGTCCCAGCCCCCTGCTGCACACAGCAAGCAGGATCCCTTTCAGCTTCTCTGCCATGCTATTCAATCCCCCCAGGCCCTAGTATCATGAGCCAAACAAAGCTCTATGAGTTACTGGGCCTCAGGTATTTTGTGACAGCAACAGGGAACAGACAAAGAGGGGCATGGGCTGAGGCTCTGGGTGACGGCAAGCTGTGCTTGGTCCTGAGGCCCATGTGATGGACCTGGGCCTGCAGCAAGGAGGCCTGAGTGCCCCACAGAGCTCAGGTCCTTCAGGGCAGCAGGGATTTCAGAGACCTGGGAGGGGACTCACACACAGGCCCCGGCAGTGAACCTGTCCCAATCACTCATACCTTTCCTGTCCCTTTCTGCTGCCTGGCACCGACCCCTGGCTCCTGAGACTGGAGGACGAGCCTGCCCCAAGGAAGACTGTCACATCAGTGAGACGTGAGGCATCTTATCTGCTCTCTGCTGTAGGTGCTGCCTCAGGACTCCTTTACAAAGGAGAAAACAGGCACAGAGTAGTTAGGTAAATGGCCCAGGGACACAGAGCTAGCGGAGGGCAGAGCCAGGGTAGAAATCCAACCTCGCTCAGGAGGACTGAGTGCTTTGCGATGAGGCAGGTGCTATGCTGGGGATTTTATGGGCGAACGGGTACTCGTCACGCCAGCTGTTCCATGAGAATACCGAGG